TAGTTCATCAAATAAGCCGAGAACTTCTTCATCCAACTTAAAACAGAAGAACAATGATCACAATGCCTTAGAAAAGGCAGTTGCAGCTGAAGAACCTCCCAAATGTTTCAATTGTGGAATAGTTGGACATCTTATCAAAGATTGTCGCTTACCTATGAGGAGTGACTTTAACTACTATAAGCAGAAGATTCTCCTGAACAAACAAAAGATGCTCATAGCAAAGAAAGATTATGAGAATGCTGCACTGCTCGCTGAAAAAGTAATCAAATTATATCTCTTAGATTTCTCAAAGAATGAGAATGTAGAAATCATTTTAATTCAACACAGAAATGCTACTGAAAATGTGAATGAATCACAAGAGTTGACATATATATTATCAATTGATCTTTCAAGCAAGCAATCACTGCTACATGTAATTATGATTAGGTATTTCCGAGTCGAACTTCAAACCTGAGATCTATGATGTCCAGTCACGATCCATATCTCAGTCCATTCTGAATCCATCCATTTCATTAGTCACAGCAAACTCAAACATTTCATATACAAATCCTAGTGAAAGAGCATCTAGTAAGTTCTCGAGTTCCATGCTAGCGAGGTGAAATTCTGTCATATTATGGGTATAAGCGTTCCTATATAACTAGAGTAAACTCCAAGGTGTGTCATCGTAGACTTGATCACGAAGAAAGGTTAAGGTTTTCAGGAGAACTAGATGGCCATTTTGTACTCCTACTATCCAACCATGAAGGATGCGGATATTGTTCACCGAACGAACAAGGATGTCCTACTTCATAACCCTGTTATCATCTAGTTCATGTTTTAAATTGACCAATAGCTCCAATCTCAAATAACTACCCCCAAAAAATGGGTGCTTGAGGAGAGGTCTAAGAGTCTTCAACCGAAAAAGTGGATTTCTGTGATGGAATAACATGATCAAGCTTTAAACTCCTTGGTGACACTGATTATTAGTACTGACAAACACGTTCTGGAGAAGTTGGCTTAAGTCCTCCATATCCTTCCTGAGAGAGACTCCATTGTGGTTTCCGGTTGCACCGTCTAGCTTCAAGTGTTCGTTGGAGATGAGGAAATTAGCTTCAAGTGTTCGTTGGAGATGAGAAAATTTTCTATTTTGTACATCCCTCCATAGCTACCAGTTATACGTTGAACCAAAACTACCGCTTCTAGCAGTTCCTTTAGGAAATATTTGTGCATGTGGTGATGGCAAAAAAGTTATCATACTTCTCATGCAGGAAATAGCTTGTGAATTGCTCTTCATGGATAAGCATTGCCTAAGAATGTTAGGTAATCCATGTAATGAATTCATAGTAAATTCAAACGAAGCCCTCAATTCTTGTGAATTGAGAGTCAGTGTGGCTTTGATTGTTATTTCGCGAGAAAACTGTCAAATAGGTCCTCAAACTTTCATAAAAAGGTCAAATAAGTCCTTATATAGGAGGCTCTGTCCGGCCGTCGCGATTTGGGGCGGTTCCAGGTGGAATTTTTTGATGAATTTTTTTGAGCATCTCATTCATCAAGTCTAGTTTACTCATACCAAATTTCAGCTAAAACTTCAATCGGGAACACATTCAAATTAATTCTTGAAGAATGTGCAGTATATTTCAAGAATTTATTTGAATGTCTGTCTGATCGAATTTTGAGCTAAAATTTGGTATGGATAAACTAGACTTGATGAGGAACATGATCAAAATATTTCATCAAAAAATTCCACCGGGAACCACCCCAAACAGTAAAGTTCGGACGGCACCTCCCGTCCCTCCGAATGAACCTGAGCATTCCTCTCTCTCTATACACACACACACACACAAGGAGCGGGTCAGCAAGAGAATAAGTGTATTACCTACAACGGAGTCCGGGTTTGCTCGCGCATCCGCCTCAGTCATCGCGTACACTCTCGCTTGGGTCCCGCCTTGGTTTACGGACGCGGCATGACTTGTGGTTGTGCCGCCTCTTCCCGTGCCGCCGTTTGACGGTCCCGCACGGGTTCTTCCCGTCATGGTTCCTCCTCCGGACCCCGGAGCTCCTCCCCCCCCCCCAATTGTGGGCAATTGGCCTTCATGTGGCCCGTGTTCCCACATCGATAACACCTCGGGGGTGCGTTGCACTTCCCGAAGTGATTCTTTGAAAAGTTGGCACACTTAGGAGGCCCCGTATTTTGAGAGGAGGATGCGTGCCACCGAGCATCCCTGTTCTTCTTCACCGGTGGTGCCGGCACTTTGAACGTACCACCACCACCACCATGGTTATTCTTCCGTGCTTGCTCGGGCGGCCCCGAACTATGCCATTTTCTCTTTTTTGCCTCCTCGGCGTCTCTTTCCTTTCTCTCATTCCATTGAGCCTCCCCAAGAAGACCCTGCTCCACCACCTCGCTAAAGGTCATGTGGCGCGAGTACGTAGCCAGATCACGGATGTCCAAGAGTAAGGCATCCCAAAAGTGCTCCGACATGCGGTCCTCATTGATCGCGTACTCCGGCAAGAACCTAGCCAAGGTTCTAAAATCTTGCTCCAGCTGTTTAACAGAAACCCCCTCCTTCTGTTTGAGGTTGGTGTACTCCCTACGCTTGACATTTTTCTCGTAGTCAGTGTAGTATTGGTCATAAAATTCCTGCTCAAAATTCAACCACGAGACCTCCCCATGGTATTTCCCTTCTACACTCTCCCACCACGTGGAAGCTATCCCCTCGAGCAGCCGTGAAGCAACAGTCAACTTCACGTCCGGTGAAATTTGCATGTCCTTTTCCGCATCCTTCACCTTCTTTATCCAATCGGCGACAACGGTAATGTCACCGGTGCCGTCAAAGGACTTACACCCCAAGGCCCTAGCCTCCTTGAGGTACTTGGAGATTCTCACACAAAAACCTCTTTCACGTCCATCATGTGACGCCGCGGGAGTGGCCCTTGAAGCTCCACGGATTCCTTGACCCAAGCCACCGCGAGAGCCACGCCTTGCTTGGCGCCTAAGGTCTCTCCTCAGTTTTTCTTTTTGATACCACTCAAGCAATTCGCCCATTTGGGCGAACTTGGCATCACTCTCATCATCATCATCATCATCATCATCGGTGTATGTGTCACCCCCATCATATGGGGTCTCCTCATGCCCCGTTTCAGGAACATATGTGGAGTCATAGTCTTCGGTGTTGGTATCATACACCGAACTAACGTGGCCGTCGCTCACAGTTTGAGCCCTATGACCTCCACGGCCTCCTCTTGAACCCCGAGATGCAGCCCGGCTCCCCCCTTGGGATGCTACCGGTGTCTGCCCCCTCGGATTGTTCCTGGTTGCCATTCGCCTGCCCTCCATTTCTGAAAGAAATATGGATGAGTCATTAAACTCCTATAAATGTCAATTGACAGAAGAACGTTATATAGACGTATTGGCCCAAGTCACCACCATACCAATTGTTAAGGGTATCGTCTTAACAATTAGAGGCCTTGTAACTTAAGCACCAATAGTCCTATAAACGTCAAAATACAATGCTCATGGTTTTTGGCAAAAACTCTTTTGTAAAATCTTTTGTGAGAGGTTGATTATATAGTTTAGAACTGAGATGGCTCTGATACCACTTAATTGTCACGCCCCAGACCGCAATCCAAGCGCGTGTACAACCGCCGTATAACTAAGTGACGTCACCCACGAGTCAACCTCACTTAATTACACAAGGAGTTCGAGAAAACAATCCATCCATACTCAGTAGTAAACATACATAACAACATCACATTTAAACCAATGAATAGCGGAAATATTCAATGGTAAGTCATGAGCCACAACCGGCCAACAACATGGGCATGCAAGCCCCGAAAATAGTTAATGGTAAAACAAATATCCATGAGCAAGTGTTCGGTAGTTTGAAAGAAAATAAGGAAACACGAACCACGTCTTCCTGATTTGATATCACCCGTGAGAAGGTGCAAGTAGCAAGCCCTAGCTTCAACCTGAAAATGGTGGGCCCCCCCGAAGGGGTCAGTACAAGTACCGAGCGAGTAGCAGGCTAAATATAGAATAACTAGCGTTTCAAGTATAAGACCCAAACATAGGGTGATACTTATGTAAATAGTCTTTTCCCCCAAGTTATGAAATACTCATTAGTATACATATATATACTTGGAAAATACCCGATCCGTGGATCACCGTTTTATTTGGGAAAAATAGTAATAGTCAATATTCTTGACTAAAAACCCCAACCCACCCATATACCTATGAGTGTATAGGACTCCTCCTTGTCCCTATTTCAATATCATAATCTATGAGTGTTAAGGACTTTTAGTCCTAGGGTCCTCCACCAATTTATAATCCAAGTGTTAAGGACTTTAAGTCCTAGGGTCCTCCACCAATTTATAATCCGAGTGTTAAGGACTTTAAGTCCTAGGGTCCTCCACCAAATTTTGAGTGTTAAGTACTTTTAAGTACTAGGGTCCTCCACCAAATTTTGAGTGTTAAGTACTTTTAAGTACTAGGGTCCTCCACCAAATTTTGAGTGTTAAGTACTTTTTAGTACTAGGGTCCTCCACCAAAATATTTTCCTATGATCAACCTCCTATCAACCTAGATAGAGTCTATTTCATACTTAGTTACTCATAACTAATTCAATACATAAAGATTATGTATCTCAATCCATGCAAAGCCATGCAATTATATAAATGTATAATTAACTAATATCAACCGATATTAATTAATCCATTGTCCATCGGTCAACGTTGTTGTTGATCGCCATTTCAAGTCTTACACTTATCAACTTAATCATCATGTAATCAAGTTAATAATATTCATTGGTGCTTCTTATACATTTCAAACAAATATGTAATTTATATGATTCTTCATATCATATTCCATGCATAAACAATTTATTTCTTTCATACTATCTTAACCCTATTGGCTAATCACATGTTTAAATATCTTTTAAACATCATTATGAACTCATATAACATTTAGTTAGGTAATATCATAATTAACCCAAAAGTTATAAGATATTAAGCCGTCCACTCACCTTGAACTAGCGTTATGAATTTCTACCCTTCTTGGTTGAACTCCGGTGAAACTCCGGCGACTTTTGGTCAACTCCGGCGACAACTCCGGCGACTCTTCCAACTTTGTGAAATCACTTGAAATACCCCTTACAAGTGCCTAACAAGGTTTTAACATCATAAAACCTTAATCAATACAAATAACCTATAAAAGGTTATTTTCCGATGAACCGGTCGTCTTGACTTCTAAATCCATTCTTGGACATAGAACCACCTTTCAACCAATAAATTCATACTTATAACATGTGGAACTATGCTAAAGGTCCTCAATATGATATATATTTCATATGGTAGAAGAAAAATAAAGGAAAAGTCATGATAAGGTTATTACCTTAGTTTTCACACTTTTTCCTAGCTTTTTCCTTCTATTATCTTCCTCCTTGGACTCCTATTGCTTGAGCTTTGTTCTTTGATATGTAGGATGTATTTTGCAGGGGGTTTCTTCTCCTCTTGATGTGACTTGGCCGAAAATGAGGATGGAGGTGAGAGGAAGTACCACCTTTTGGCTTATTCCACCATGATAACATGGCAAGGACCCCCCATATGTCCTTTTGATGCCAATCCCCTCAAGTCAACCACTCCCACACCCCTCCTCTCCAATCAGCCAGCCTTACCCCCTCTCCCAGCCCACATAATTTCGTGGGTTGGCCCCCACATGTGTGGGAGGTCACCCCTTTAAGCCTTGAAGTGTACAAACGGTCCCGAAAGTTGTATTTTTCGGACTGTTTTAAATACATTTTATTTTATCGGGTCAAATAAAATATATTATGTGCTCTTACTCATTATGACATTTGTAATGAATATACATTCCTCATCTTTAATTTATAAGCCTCCGAAATTCAGTTCGGGCTGTTATCTGTTAAATTACCAGTACCGGTAGTTTGGGCCTCTTTTGACCAATCGGTCAACTCTGGGCCTTTCCAGGGCCCAAATGAAATATCCACCACTACATATTTATTATATAGACCAAGATGAATAAAATATATGGTCTCGGGAATGTCGGGCGGCCCCCGCTCCCGGTGTGGGTCCCACGTGCGATTTACTATTCACGCGAAAGAATTAATAAAATTTACAACTTTGTAAATTCATGAATCATTCCATAAGGTTTATTACATCATTTACTTGAAAGTAAATACATTTGGGGACGGTGTTACAGCTTGTGTCCTCAACATTCAATGTGATGATCTTCAATGCGTAAAAAAAACTTTACCCACCAAAAGTTTAAGTTTAAAATGTATGAATACTAAACAAACCTAAATACTCAGTTTTAAGGTTTAAGTTTTAAGTGTAACCGTTGAATATCCATTAAAAAGTAGCTTGGAAACAAAACGATAAGAACTTCATAGACATACTTCTTCAGGAACAGAAAACTCCTTTTTAAGAAGAGTGAAATTATCTTCATCATCCACTGCTTTTCCCTTATTCTCGTATAACGACATCACATTAGGATCACAATTCATTCCAATCACACTAAATGTAGGCACACCCCTGTAGCTTATGATTTCTCTCTTTGATTGAACTCAAAACAATCCCTTAATCCCAACCAAACAATCAATCTCAACTGGAAAATAGTAAGGTCCCACACCTTTCTGTATATTCCACGAACTTAAACACATTAAACTTGAAAAATTTATGGCATATAAGAATAGTATACTGAAATGTATCTTTAAAAAAACCTCTTCAATCTCACCGCGAAGAGAATTTGCCGGTTTCCCCACCAAAACATTGCATTCTTTGTCCCAAAACACAAAAGATGCATGACCTGTGTCATCCATCACCCTCACATTCACCTTATATCTGAAATTTTTCAACGCTTTAGCATGAACCGGTGACTGCCAGTCTAAAAAACCATGTCAAAATAAGCTAACCTGAGAATCACTTCTGTTGTGTTGCACACAACACACCGGAAAGTATCCCTTTCAGGTAAAACTTTCCTACGGCAGCCCTTGCAAGAAATATAGTATCAGTCTCGATAGCTATCAATTGCCAAAATCTCTTCATAGACCCAATGCTTACCTTCCTATTTTTATTAGTACATAGTAAACCTGTTTCAATATATAGACATAAAACATCCATTAATTTATAATGAAATGCTCTACTATATCCCAACCTCCTTTGTTTTCATGAGATCATCAATCGAAACCATCTTGACATTCCCGCTTTCAAGGTCATCGGGGAAAGTAGGAGTCACAAAAGTACCGAAGGCTAATCCGTCCCCATCATCATCGTTATCTGGCCCAAACCTAAGTCATTTAAGATAACAGTTGATTAAACCCCAGTCCATAAATTATGGTTCAAGCTATTTAAGAATAGCTTACGTTGCTTTGAACTCTGCATACTCCTCACAGTCCCTGTTCAGTAGCATCTTTGATACATTGAACATGTTTGTCACTCCCACACGACCTAAAAGTTTACATTATTAAGCATGAATCACACACTGAAAATCAATTTTAGTTTCATTATACCCTGAAATTTTCTTGGACGGCATAATTGAATAATAAGAATGATAGACTTAGGTTTAGTCTTCAGAAAATCTACCAACTGATCTACCAACTCCTCCCAAAGTGTGCATGAGATAGTATTTCCACTACAAAATATGATATAGATTTCAAATTTCAAACCTACCACAAACACTTGAATTTTGAAGTTTGAAATACTTACAGTGTATCCCCAAGAGTAAGATCAATCAACTGTGTTTCTATGCCATTCTTTGTTAGGGCCTTAGGGTTTGACCGGGAAGTAACTTGCCAATCACATCTAAAAGAGAAATTTTTTATTTAAGTATTGTTCTTTCATTAAAAATTAAATGAAAGAATTGTTTTTTATGAAAATGATCACCTATGGCATGTGTTTCATCCACAACTTCCATAGCTTGCAAGGCAGCAATCGTTGTAAAGTCAAACATTTTCATTGGGAAATTGATGTTTGAAAGCATTCCTTGTTGTCTTGAAATTCATGTAGTTATTTTGAACCAAAACATGCCTTATTGCATAAACATTGCCTTCCTTAAACAGGGATCAAAACTTTGCAACCTGATATTTCCCAACATGTGCATGAATTTTTGTTCCCTGGGAAAAAAGTTGTTAGTTCATAAATGTTTTATATATGAATTGCAATATAAAAACTTTTCAAAGTATACATGTTTTAAAATCTACTTTTCAAAGCAAACACTACCTCCCTATCATGGAAAATACACTACAATGATTCACCATGAATCCCATATCCTGGGATTACATAAACACGAACTCCTCTAGCTTTGAATGTTCGGGAAGTTTCTGTTTGATCAAAATCATTTATCAAAGACTACATGCTATTAATTTTTCGTAGTAAAGAAATCAATGCCAAAATGAAGGAAGGGATGATGAAAACGTAATTTAGAATGTCTATTTATAGGAAGGTAAGATGCATCGTCCACACACAATATACACACTTACACTTGTGTGTTCTAATTTCCAGCAAAAATAGATTATATGAGTTGTCAACCACCTAACGTAGGAGTAATGATATCACTCCAATAGGGAGCATTTGTGAATCCTAGCTAAATATCATTATTTAAATTTATTAGAGCAACAAATTGCTTAACTAAATAGGTGTAATGATGTAAATTTACTTTTTTCTCAGAAAAGCAGCTTGCCCAGCCGCCAAACTGTGGACTTTAACCCACCTTTAAAGTGGACTTTAACCCACCTTTTTGCTAATGGCTAATTGTGAATTACGGCTGCACCATTCCTAATGTAATAATTAATTCATGTTGCTCAAGTTTACCCTTCAAAGGGATCTTTATGTAATTTCACCTTATGGACTCTTGCCTTAGGAATATGGGCGAGAACACTGTTGAAAAAACAACGTTTTTAGGGATTTTGCTTTTATATTATAGCAGATAATCCCATTTGTTGCCACGAGGCAATTTTTTTTATATTACGTACATTATAATAACTTTTTCATATATTTATAAAAGCATATCAAACAAAATAAATTTTTATTTAGTAAACGATCGTCAAATGTATGATTTATTACTATGCATTCTTTAAGTCTAGTTTGATTGATCACAATTTGTTTAAATTTATATGAATCAAAATATCCTAAATCAAATTTAGATAAATAAAAATTTGATAATACAACATTCTAAATTATATATAGGAGACATTAGTCTATAACAAGACATTTGAAAATTGAAACATACAGATTATTTTACATAAATTCATTTATTAGAAGACATTAATTTATACTTAATTCTAATAAGGATGTTTTTTATTGGATTGGAATTTCCTTATCAGGTATGATCTGATCTGGTCAGGTCTATTTAAGTATGAGCTAGTAGTTTGGTCTATTTAAGCATGCTCTGACCTAGTCTGGTCTGATACTGGTGTGATCAAGTTGATGTTTGTTCTATAAGTATTAAACAACAATTGAAGTCCAATCGACTGATCTGGTTTGTTTAAGAATATTTTTAATCAGGCTGGAATTTTCTGATCTAATATATTCTGGTAGATGTCAGGTCGCTGTTAATTTTATACTTCGTAATTATTCAAGTCTGATCTGATTTGATCTGGTCCAATATGAGATTGGAAACAATCCAAGTAAAAACATTCTAATCTAATCATGTTTTACACTAAGTATCTCTGTTAGTTTATTCGCGTATAATTCGCGTATAATACTCCCGTTTATGATTTTTTCAAAAAATTCGGAAAAATTCGCGTACTTTAAGAATAAAATGTATAATACACGTACCGTACGTATTGATACGTATTTTATTCCCGTATAATACTCTTGTTTATGAATTTTTAAGAAAATTCTGGAAACCTCACGTACTTTAAGCATAAAATGTATAATACACGTACTGTATGTATTGATACATATTTTATTCAAAAACACACACCATTAAACGTAAGCCTAATGTAGTGATACAACTGAAACGAAATGTTTAGCTGCTCAATATTATTTATATTGCTTAAAAAAATTATGCCTTATATGTTCGTTAATTGTTTCATAGTCATTACATTTAATAAATTAGCTTCTTAAATTCGTAATCCTTTTCAATACTACTATTGTACTACTAATGTTCTCCACACATACCAAGACTCCAAAGAGATCGTAAAATGTTGTGGCGGCTCACGAAACTCACGGTCACAGTAATATCAACTATTCTCTAATAATATCTCTCTACTTCTACTCAAATAGGTAATGCCATTTTTATTACTTATTGTACTTATGTGTTCAAATCCGTATATATGAAAAAATTATTTCGTACATTTTAAATTGTTGAAGAATGTGGTTCAAATGCTAAATAACTTTTTATTTCTATCATTAAATTAGTATATAAGACACATATTATATGCCGTATTTTTAAATTGTGAAACGTTTAAAACGCGTCCGTATCTTTATATATTTCACGAACGTATGAAACATATATTAAGCCGTATTTTATATAATTGTGTCGTATTATACACGAACGTACGTATTATTGTATTA